TGACTTCTCTGGACCTGTTTACCCATCTGAAATATGAGGAGACTGGGCAAGATGATTGTGACTTGAAGATTAAACCTGTCTGTCTATGCACACCTCAGGAGGGGTGTTGTAAGGCTTAAATGAGACAATGAATGGAAAGCATTTTGCAAACCTTAAAGCTCTATAGAAATGCCATTTATTATTAGCTCCTAGTCATCAGACCTCCAATCTGGTGATGATTTCATTCCCTGAGTCTTCTGCCTCATGCTCCTGTTTCAGCTCAAGCATTGTTTATAGTACACAGGGGTGTACTGATAAATGTTTAACAACTGGCTCTGGGAAGGGAGGAGGTATATACACATCTACTTTTAATTTTAATATAGATTATTAAAATTTTCTCCATCATTTTCTTAAGTATAGACAGTAAACAAGACCTGATTTGTAGCGATCACTGATTTCTTAGGTGTAAATGCTCCTACTGACAATTTAAAGGAGGCCCTTGAAAATGGTAGGACATCCTGTGTAATACTGCCCAGCTCTAAGGGTCAAACCAGCAGAAATAGAGAGAAATCCAGATGGATCAGTATTGTAAGCATTATCAATTAGCCAGCTTATTCTCTGTGTTACTCATTCAGAGTGGTCTGCTAAAGGCAAAGTTGCTTGGACTCCAAATGAAGACAAATCACCAGGGCCTCAGATGCCTGCGTGAGAATCCCTGATATAGGCAGATAACATATATATCATGAAAATCCTATTCTTGCTCCCAAAATGAACTACTTTTAAAATAATTATACATCATATCAGAGACAATTTGATATTCTCAATTCTTATTATGGGTTTCATGAAAAAAAGAGGATGGAAATTCCAGCATAGGAAATCTGTGGGTTGACAATCAGTCAACAATATTTTTGGAGTGCCACTGAATGCCAGAGGTGGGAGCAGTCCAGAAGGCATAGCACTATGTCTGGCTTTGAAGTAAATATGATATCACATCAATACTTATCTGTTTCTGTTTGCAGCTAACTCAGAGTTAACAGGGTTAACTGGGGAAAGATATTGATTTTCCAAGTCAGGAGAGTAATAAGGCTATAACTGGCAGTTGAATGTGTTTGGAAGCAGGTAAAAGATTAACCAAAAGTGTGTGCAAATTATTGGCTAATAAAGCTGCATCACTTTCATGCATGGGGGAAGTCCCCACGGCTTCATGAAAGTCATTTAAAAAAAAATGAAGACTTATTAAAGAGAGCTGCCTGTTGTCTTCCCTTTTATTTGGGAAAAAAATACCATCAAGGTTGAGGAGTATTGTTTAATTATAAACTCTGTGTGTGAGTGTGTGTGGGTGTGTCTGAGAGACAGAGACACAGAGAGAGACAAACAAGAGAGAAGGATAGAGAGACAGATACACAGAGGGAGAGAGAGAGACAGACAGACAGAGACAGAGACACAGAAAGTCATTCAGACAAGGCTTCTGCTGATTGCTTTGGGGGTAGAGAAGAGATAGTAATTTTCTGAAGACCCTGGGAGTTATAGTTCATCCTGACTCAGAAGGAGACAAAGCTAGATTGTAAGATCAGATCTGGAGGGCAGAGTTTCCCACTGGCAATGGCAGTTTTAAAAAAAAAAAAATGTCAGCCTACAGACTCAGGGGAGCTGGAGAGGGAGCAGGAAAGAGTGGCCACCATGGCAGGAGCATATGGAGGATGCTTTCCATGGTACTGATTTTAAGACTTGAAGCAGCTGCAGCTCTTTCCTTTCCCTGCCTCACTACTCCATATATTAGGAGGATCCAGCCTGGAGTGACTGAACTCCGCTTACTAAGAGAAAGCCACAATAGTGGTGAAATGACTCCATTCTCCATTTCTCCCTTCTGTTCGATTGCCACATGCAACAGGCAGTTCCTACTGTGTTCCTTTGTCATTTTAAATTTTGTTGCTGACGGTTTGTATTTTTGATGATGGCTTTCTCACTAAAGAGAAGGTAATTTTAATTAACCCTGAGTTGGTGTTTTTGCTGCAAGGAATGTGATGGGGGAGGAAGGAGAGGTAAGTCAGCCTGCGGATATATGCAGAGTATAACTGACCTCAACTTCTCTTTTCCAGCCTAGCAATCAGAGAACTGTCTGGCATGGGTGGGAGTGTAGCAGGGTCAAGTAGGATCTTTACACATTCTAATAATAACAAAAATAGGCATTTTAAAGCTTTTTTATTTTTTTGAGGTAATCAGGGTTAAGTGATTTGCCCAGGGTCACACAGCTCCTAAGTGTCTGAGGAAGGATTTGAATTCCGGTCTCTCTGATTCCAGGGCTGGTGCTGTAGCCACTGCACCACCTAGCTGCCCCTAAGCTTTCTAACATTGAGAAAAGAAGCCATATTGAATCAGCACCCTTGCCCTAGAGTAAAACCCCTCATGAGCAAATTTCTTCTTTCAACCAGGAGATCTCTGTTTTTTTTGTTTCTGTTTTTGTTTTTTTTGGCTAGGCAATGGGGTTAAGTGACTTGCCCAGAGTCACACAGCTAGTGAGTGTTATGGGTCTGAGGCTGGATTTGAACTCAGGTCCTCCTGACTCCAGGGCTGGTGCTCTATCCACTGCGCCACTTAGCTGCCCCCAGGAGGTCTATCTGGATGAAGGACTATTAGGGCTTTCTCCACCACATATGATAGAGAAGGAGGGTGAGTTGAGGTCGAGACATCAAATGAAGGTCACATTCTGAACTGTCACAAGCAGATGGAGACAGAAGTGGTCAGATTTCAGGGACAATCAGCTGCAAATGCTCCCCCAAAGGGAGAGAGGGCTTCATGTCTGCTGGTAGATAAAGCTATATCACATAAAATCTTGTGTGTGTGTGTGTGTGTGTGTGTGTGTGTGTGAGTGTGTACATTTGTTATTGTTCAGTCATTTCAGTTGTGTCCAAGTGTTTGTGACCCCATTTAGGGTTTTCTTGCCAAAGATACTAGAGTGCTTTGCCACTTCCTTTTCCAGCTCATTTTAAAGGTGAGGAAACTGAGACAGACCAAGGTTAAGTGACTGGCCCAGGGTCACAAAGCCATTAAGTGTCTCAGGACTGATTTGATCTCATGAAGATGAGTCTTTCTGACTCCATCCTGCTGCTCAGACCACTGCACCACCTAACTGCCCTGTATATACACATATCCATACTCATATATTATTAGCATGACACTATCCAAGAAAAAAATGTCCAGTGCAATTAATTCATCTTAGATCCCTTTGCACATATATGAACATTTGATGAGGAAGTTCTATGAATAGTGAACAAGGTAATATGGATTGAGGATCCCACTAAAGACAATTAATGCCTTTACCAGGAAAGCTTACACACCACCTAAATTTTTTTTATTGGAAATACAGATGTTAGTTACCATGCAATTCTACAAGTTAGGTACATTAACAGATGATGATCGGCAAATAAGTAGTGAACTGAACCAGGAAGATCAGAAAATACATACAGGACAAACTGACCAACAGTGAGGCGCTAAGACAGCCTCACTGAAGCGATGCACATTAGTCACAACAAAGCACCACTACACACGTGTAAGAAATGAGCCACAGCAGGATATATAAGCTGCTATCATATAGTGTATGGAAATGTGTTCATCACAAGCAGAGAGGACATTAAAAAAAAATCACTCAGAGAGCTCAGTGGAAATCAGCTTTGAACAACTGATAGCTGTGGACCCCTAAGAAGTCGTAATAGCAGACGGCCCAGCTTGGCATGGAGATTAGAAGAATGGAAATTTGCCTCTTTGAGTGAAGCCTTTGAGCTGAGCCTAAATTGAAGAGTTTATAAGCAAGCTCTTTGGATAGCAGCAGCAGATACTAAATAAAGGACAAGTTTTGGGTGTGCCAGTGTGGAATATACTCTGTTTCTCCTAATGTTGTTTCCCCACCCCACCCCTCCTCAAATTTGGGTTTATGCTGACTCGTGGCATGTGAATTCCCAGCCACCATCCTTCTATCACTTAGTAACAGTGAAAATTCTCAAACTGGTGAGAGAGCCAGTGCAAATCCATTGGGGAACTGAGTCCTAACCACTTCTACTCTAAAACTCTAAAAAGAATTTTCTTAAGTTAAAATTGTCACAGCAATCAAATGGGAAGAACTGCAGCCAGCTTTAAAATATTCCAATGGGGTAGCATTTTAAAATAAACTTACATATGACATTCTCCATGTTTCTTGGAGAATGATTTACGCTAGTATGTTTTCTGGCTTCCATTCTGCAATTATCACAATTTTTAGTATCCTCATGAAGTAAAATTGATGTTCCAGTTGGCTAGAAAACATCTTTTGGAAACTGCTTGACTAAATACACCATCTTGGGAAAAGGTGGTCTAAATACCTAGATCTACTTCATTTTCTGTCAGCAAAGTGGTCCACCTCATACAGATACTAGCAGCTGGTTTCAAAAAGCACCAACAAAACCAGCTAAAAGCAAAATGAAACAAGGCTGGGCTCTTATAAACGAACAGTTTCAGGCACCTCAAAGAGGCAATTAAAGAAAATGAGTTTGATGCAATATGAAGTCATTTTCCATTTTTTTTTTGTAAAAACTCATTACTTAAGTGAATTTATTGGATCACCTCACAGGGCTAATGGAGGCTTCTCTTTTGTGCTATAAACGAAAACCCATTTATGTGTCAAAAATACATTAAAATGAAAATAGTCAAAAGAGAACCACACAGGCTACGAAACATGCGAATATGACCAAGCTGAGATCGTGCTTAATCAAGATGAGCACATCAGAGCCTTCGGAAAAAGGAGTTTTTAGTAAGCCATAACAGACTGGCTTGAGCCGAAAATTTAAAGGTGATACGGATACTTTCAACATGCTGACCCAGTCCTTTCTTTCCTCAACTACTCCCACTCTCCCTTGTGATAGTATTATGACAAGGAGAAAAGATGGAGTGTGGGGAGGTAGGTTTGTTTGCCTAGTTTTTTTTTTTTTTGGATATGCTTACAATGTACATAAATAGGTATAATTAGAAAGCAGAACATGAGGCCAGCATTCAAACCAAAAGGCATTTAATGTCCCAATACAAACACAGGCCTTTTCTCTCTGTGGCTTCCAAGTTGGCCTAATAGCTGATATAACCATCCATCTTTTCTTCAAGGACTTGAACTTTTACTATTCAAAAGAGATGATTTCATTTTAATAAAACATTCAAACATGAAAAATTCAACTTTATGCCACTTCACATAGACAATAAACTGCCCAAGAGCACAGACTGCCTTGGACTTCTTAGCGTTCCTAAGGTCTAGCAGAGTGCTGGACACAACATAGTATGGTCTCAACAAACATCTGATGATAATAATGCTTTGCCCATGAGATAACACAGTTAACTCCTCAGGGAAGGTACTACTTGTGTATTTTGAAGAATGTCCAAACTCATTTGTGTAGCTAATCAAATGCAGATCATATCTTGGTGCAGTGCAGCTTAGAGTTCACAAAAACATCAAGTCAAACCACTAGTGTTGAAACATACAGAAAGTCTTCCCATGGAAGTCACCACCTGAAATGGGGGGAAAAAAAAGTTACATATGCTCTTGAATTTAAAAAAGCAGATTTTGCTCAGATGTTCTCTCCACAATGTCTATTTTTTTGTTTCCACACTTGTAGAAAATGAAATCTCTCTGACATCTCTTTGTGACATACAGTGAGGATATGTCATACTGGAGCCTCCTAGAGTTCACCTCAAGCCTAAAACCGTCCTCTTTGTAACTCCCACCCATTTCTCCTGGTTCTGCCCTTTGGGACTAAAGAGAACAAATCTCATCTCTCTTCCACAAAACAGCTCTGAATATGGAAAGACAGATAGCATGCCCCTCTTTCCCAGGCTAAACATTTCCACTTCCTTCAACCAGTCTTCAAAGCCATGGACTAAACCTTTCACCATTTCAGTTATCCTCCTCTAGACATTATTCAGCATACCAATGTCCTTCAGTTGTGGTGCTCAGAACAGAACACAAGGCTCCATCCAACGTCTATTCTTACAGGTCTGATGAATCTTTATAGGAAACATTTCTCATGAATAAACAAGTTCTCTTTGGTGGAGTCTATAACCAGTATGCATTATCTGAGGTCCGTGACACACAGAAGCTCCAGTGCTGAGAAGACGTGAAACTTTTAGAGTATGGGTCTTATGTAAATTAGAGGTGGGAGTGAAAGGATATATTTCCCTACAACACTAGAAAATTGTCATCCATTTACAATTTTAAAGATAATAACCTGTGAAAATGCCTAAAAATAATTGCTACTAATATTGCATTTAGAAAGTCTTAAAATCTTTTCATCACCCCTTTAGAAACCAGGTAAATTCATAAGTTAACTTTAGAGGTTAAAACTTTGGTTCTTTTAAAATAAAACTGAATACAAAATTGACACATTTAATTAATAATTAAAATTAATTTAAAGATAAAAGGATTGCATAACAAAAAGCATTATCTCCAAAATAAAAAGAAAAGAGATTGTGACAAAAATGTGATGTAGATTTATTCAAAATTTGGATTTTAGATGAATGATAATCTTCAATAGAGAAATGGTCAAGGGATAAGAATGAACAATTATCAAAGCAGGAAATAGAATTGTTAATAAGCACATGAAAATCTTTTCCAGTTTTTCAGATAATTGGAGAAATGCAAATCAAAATTACCATGAGGTAGTATCCTGCACCAAACAGATGAGCAAAAATAGCTAAAAATAAAACAAAATAATACAGTATAATATAATACATAAAAATAAATTCAATGATGGTGAGACTGGAAAGAAAAAGGTCTCCATACATATGGTTGGTGAGACCTTAAATTACTATAAGTTTCTTTGCAAAGCAATCTGGAAATATACAGTGTTATAAAACTAATCGTACCTTTAGACTTAGCTATCACATCTCTGAGATTATATCCTAAGAATGTTATTGAAAGAAAAAAGGACTTGTCTACACAAAAAAATATTCAAAACTCCTTGATTTTAAATAGCAAAGTAACTGGGAACAACCTATATGCCCAATAATTGGGGAATAGAGGAAGATAATTAATGAATGTTCATCAAATAGAATGCTATTTGCTATAAAAATGTTTGAAGAATGTGAAGAGATGTATAAAACTTCATACAAAGTAATGCAAAATGAAGCAGAAAAAGAATATACAAATTAATTACAACTGTGTTTTGTTTTTGTTTTTTTTTTGGTGAGGCAATTGGGGTTAAGTGACTTGCCCAGGGTCACATAGCTAGTAAGTGTCATTGTGTCTGAGACTGGATTTTAACTCATGTCCCTGACTTCAAGGCCAGAGTTCTATCTACAGTGCCACCTTGCTTCCCCAACAACTGTGTTTTAAAAATAACAAAAACAAACCTTTTAGGTACATAAAGGACAAATTCTGCTATAGAAATTTATTCTAGGTAGATTTATATTTGTTTTGTTAGATTATTTATTTGCATTTCTTAAAAATCTTCTTTAGTTTATAATAAAAGAAAAAATAGTTTTTAAAATTGCCCAATGGGACACTAATGCATTGTTGGTGGAGTTGTGAACTGATCCAACCATTGTGGAGAGCAATTTGGAACTATGCCCAAAGGGCTATAAAACTGGTCCAGCAATAAAATTGATCCAGCAATACCACTGCTAGGTCTATATCCCAAAGTCATTAAAAAAAAAGTGAAAAGGACCTATTTGTACAAAAATATTTATAGCAGCTGTTTTTGTGGTGGCTAAGAATTGGAAATTGAAGGGATGTTCATCAATTGGGGAATGGCTGAACAAGCTGTGACATATGGTTGTAATGCAATATTATTGTGCAATATGAAATGACAAGCAGGATGATTTCAGAAAAATCTGGAAAGCCTTTCATGAACTGATGCATAGTGAAGTGAACAGAACCAGGAGAATGTTGTACACAGTAAAGCAATACAATTCTATGAAGAATTATGAATGACTGAGCTATTCTCCGCAATACAATGATCCAAGACAATCCCAAAGGACTAATCAGGAAGCATATTATTCACCTCCAGTGAAAGAATTGATAGTTTGAATACAGACTAAAGTATGTTATTTTTTACTTTCTTTCTTTCATTTTTTAAATTCAAATCCTCTTATACAAAATGACTAATATGGAAATGTTTTACCTGATTGAAAATGTATAACCTATATTTGATTGCTTACCATCTCAGGGAAGGTGGGGGTAGGGAGGAAGGGAGAGAATTTGGAACTCAAAACTTTAAATAAATATGTTTAAAAATTTAAAAATAAGTTGCCCAATATCAACTCAAATCCATCATTTGGGGTCCCTCATCAAAAACCTTCACTTCACCTATTGTTCTACTGCACCACAATTCTATTAGTAAAATGGTCAAAAACATATTGGGCCACAAAAGAGATGGTGAGGATGTGTGTGTGTGTGTGTGTGTGTGTGTGTGTGTGTGTGTGTGTGTGT